GTAGTAGTCGTCCGTCCTCCTCCCTCCCTCCCTCCTCCTCCTCCTCTCTCTCTCTCTCTCTCTCTCTCTCTCTCTCGCTGCTTAAAGAGTTCCCGCGCGGAAACTTGCCTATCGAATTCCTTCGAGCACCGTCCTCGATTCGAGCTTCTATGCGAGATTAATAAGCCACTTGATTTCACTTTACGGCCACATTCGTTCCGGCCCGATCCGGATTCCTTCGCGGGATTTCGTGATACGAATGGCGAGAGTAACATCTCGGCCATTGATACCGAATTTTCACTGGATTTTTACGGGAGAAATTTCTGCGTAATATCCTCGCATTGAATTTGCGGTGAATTTTGAAGGAAGGGAAAAATTTTGTAAAATCTATGGTAACGTAACATCTTGCCACTCGTGCGAGTTTTAAATTGGGAAAAATTCTGCAATATCCTGTGTGCAACATCTTGATACCGAGGCGATGAATTCGAGTTTTAAAAAGGGGAAATTTCTGCGATTCTGCGCGTAATATATATTGCCATTGACGCGGGTCGAATTTTTATACGAGTTTTGAGCGAAATATTCTTCGATTCTCCGTAACATCTTGCCATTAATATCGAATCGATTTTGCATCGAGTTTCATGCGAAAAATTCTAACCAATTTTGCATAACGTCTCGCCATTGCTATGAATTTTTATGCAAGTTTTAAGTGAAGAAAAATTTGCAAATTTATTTAATTTTCGTCATTAATACGAATCGATTTTCAGTTTTAAACGAAAATTTCTACGATTCTCGATAATATCTTGCCATTAATACGAATCGAATTTTTATATAAGTTTCAATTGAAAAAATTTATTTAATTTTAACATTGATACGAGTCGAATATTTTTGTACAAGTTTTAAGTTAAAAAAAATTTGCAAATTTATTTAATCTTGCCATTAATATAAATTGATTTCGAGTTTCAAAATTCTGTGCGTACATATTTTGTATAAATCGTATTTTTGCAAACAATAAATATATTTAATAATTGGAAACGAGAAAGGAGAAATGAAGGTTAATTACAGCCAAATGGCAGTTCTTTTCAAGGTTATTATTAATTTTATCTTTCTACGTTCGAAATTATACAATATAGCAAGGGCAATAGAGTATTTATAAAACAGCTCTGAGATATGACGATATATTCGCAGCAGTATCCGTACGGTGTTAATAACGAGTTCACGTTTATTCCTATCTATTACGTTTATATAATATTCGTTTGACAAAATTCCACGCAGTTTCTCTCAACAAGAACAGCGTGCTTGAATAAATATCCCATTGTCTCTAACGTTGTAACGTGTTTGTCTCTGTATATCGTATCCATGGAAGGAGAATTAATTACCAAACAGTTGATGCAACGATGCGAAAACATTGCATACTCCATACAATTGATTTAATATTTATACGAGAAATCAAATTTCGAAAAAAAAAAAGAAAAAGGAAATGTGTTAAATTATATACAATTTATTTGTCCATTATTAGAAAAATATTAATGCACAGGCAAGTAGTTTAATACTTTCAATCCGTTATACATCGAATATCAAAGTTTCCACCATTTTTTTATATTCCCTCGAAAAAATTTCTTTCGAAAAGAAAATTAATCTCGAATCGATTACACATCGTCGATAAATATTAATCTCGCCTCGAAACGAAAGCAAACGCAATATTAATATACTTTAATATATAATTTATGACTTTTAATTCATTATCGGTTACACATAGAATTTCAAAAAATTTCTTTCGAAAAGAATCTCGATCTCGAATCGATTTTACGCTACCTGTACAATCGATCGTCGATAAATATTAACCTCGCGTCAAAACGAATACGATATATTAACAAAATATTATGAATTAAAAATATAACAATACTTTTAATTCATTGCACAATGAGTATCAAAGTTTTCTCCATCTTCTTATATTCCCTCGAAAAAGCGATCTCGAATCGTTTTAGGCTATCTGTACAATCGATCGTCGATAAATATTAATCTCGAAAGTAAACGCGATACAATGAAAAGAAGAAACGTGATCACCTCTATCTCGAAAGAGTTAATACCGTTTAATAGAAGGACAATTAATACGACACGTACTCGTTAAATTAAACCGGTTCGATGGTGGTCGGTTGCTTGTAATAATGAGCTACTAAGTATCCACCAACCATTCCATCGTGTGCCCACTCAGGATTACATAAGCGCGCACGTGAAAATAGATGCACTAAACTTTCGAACTATATTTCTAATTTTAATCGTTGATTTTACTTGTGACAATTTATCGAATCGAAACGAATTCTACGAATTAAAGATCTCTTTATTCTTTCGAATAGAATCCCTTCAATGGTTAATCACAATCGAGGTGAATTGTTGGAATTAAAATTGATCCCTCTCGGGTTATTTTACAAAAATAACTATGAAATAGTTTAACAAAACGCACGTGTGCGAAACCATATCATACGTACCGATCCTCGTTGAAGCACGTCGCGGTCGCAGAGCGAAACGATCGATCGATCATCGAGCGACACACTAGGCGCGAAATAGTACGTGTACACGTCGGTTGGAACCCACAGCGACACCAGCGACGAAGCACATTCACACTCGCGGAACACACCTCCTTCACCCTATCTTCTCTTCGCAACAAGTTGAGTTTCCGATTCGACACTTTTTTTTTTTTTCTCCGCGAAAAACAAAAATTCTCTCAACTGTGGAGAAAAAGTTGTCGAATGAACGATTCTTCAGAGATTATCGCTGTAAGATGTAATTGTTATACAACGAAAGATGAAAGTTTTGTTTTCTCGTAACGCTGATTCGTTCACCGTTTTCGCGTGAAGCTCGTTCGTACAAAGTGTAGAAAGCTGTACCTGTCCCTTCGAATATCCCTTTTTTAACTTTGGCTTAAACTTTAGTTTAGAAGACACTTGAGAATCGCGATGAGAATCGATGAAAAATAGAAGATGATGATATCCGTGATGTGAAAGTTCGTTCTCTCTCTCTCTCTCTCTCTCTCTTTCTCTCTCTCTCGTCGAGTAGATCCGAACCACGTTCGAAAGGTTAAGGTCGGAATCGGCGGGCCACAAAAAAAAATACACCGTGGATCCAGCGTGGACGTCTCGTTACGAGTGTTATCGATTCACACGTTGCACAATCTCGCGTAACTTTTCCGCCGTCCAATCGGGAGTCGCGAAACAACACGACGCGTAAATGGCCGCTTTTACATTCAGCGAGCAACACGTGCGCGCCTCCTCGACACCTTTTCTCCTTCCTTCCCGTCTATCTCCCTTTCGTAAGAACTTCCGTAAGAATCATGGTGATGAAAAAAGGTGGAGAGGAACACGAACACCGTCATCCTCCTCTCTTCGACGAGATTCGAGAGGAAGAAAAACGGGGATTACTTTATTAGCAAAGGAAGAGAAAGCTCGAGTCCTCGTGGTGGAGACGAGTCACGATGCGGAATGGTACACGCGTTGGAAGGCAGTGTGGATGAATGATGAGCAGCATCGGGAGGGGGGAGGGAGGGGAGGAGAGGAGGAGGGCCACGTTCTCCTCCTCCTCGCGTCGGCTCGAAGCGTCTCTCGTCAGTGGCGTGCGACAACAGTAGCGTCGTTCTTCCTCCTTTTCCTCGCCAAAGAACGTGGACGAATCGACGAAGCGGCGCGTGCACTCATCGCGGAAACGGGGAGATTGTTGGACGCCTCGAGTCCACGAAGCGGAACGACGACGTTGCTGCCGCGACGACGAGCATCACGATGTTCTCGACCCAACACCACCAACGATCCGGGGCACACGCGCGAGAAACGTGAAGCGTCACATGATCTCCGCTACGACGACGGATCACGATGCGACACCTTTCGCGACACCGAGAACAAAGCAGGAACAAGAGGAAGAGGAAGGAAGAGGAGGAGGAGGAGTAGAAGGAAAGCGAGAACAGTTCGAAGAAGAGAAAGAGAAAGAGAAGAGAGAGAGAGGAAGAAGGAGAAGGAGGAGGAGGAGAATTGGTTGCGTGCGGATCGGTGGAAACGTCGCCGAGGAGAGGATACAGCGTATTCGCCGGTGGCGCGGATCAAAAGAGAGAAAAAGAGAAAGGAAAAAAGGAAAAAGAGAATGGTAACGCCGGTTTCTCCTCCTTGGTTGGCCGGGGAGCGGCTATGGCGGTGGCCTGGCTCTTACTGCTGGTGCTGGTGGTGCTGGTGCTGCTGCCGGTGCTGCTGCCTGCTGCTTCCCTTGGTGCGGGGGAAACGATTATCTCGCAGCATCCCCATCGCGCAGGACCGATCCGTGGCGGCGCGACCGCCGAGTGTCGGACGAAGATGCCGAAAAAGAGAGTGAGCCAAGTGGACGAAAGAGGGCGCTGGTTGAACAGAGACGTACATCCTTTCCTAACCAGTCGAAGGGTGTATGCTCGAGCATGGAACGGAGAGAGAGAGAGAGAGAGACAGACAGAGAGAGAAAGAGAGAGATCAAAGCCGAATGCTTTGAGGATAGGGGAAGGACAAAGATGGGAAGAGGAAGTAACGAGACGGTGAGAATGGATGGTGTGGATTAAAGAGCGACGGGAACGAGGTGAAGGACAAAAAACAAGGCGGTGGGGGGGGGGAGAGGAGGGTTAGGTAAGGTCGTCGTCGCGAGGAAGCGACGGATTTTTTTTAATCGGCACGCGTCGTCCATCCGTATCGACGAATTTTTCCTCGAGCGGAAAGAAAGGAGGGAAGAGAGTGGCGAGAAATGAGGAAAAGAAAAGAAGGGGGGAGAGGAAGGATCGTAACCGATACGACGCCACAGTGGTTCGGATACACAGCGGTGTGTATTAATTGGACAAGAATTCATTTTCAAATAATGTTTCGATGTAACGTAAACAAAAATACGCGTGTATAGGCAAAGAGAACTAAGCATTTAAAATTTCAATTTTGTAACGGATATCTCGAAACATCTGTTTTAATTTAAAATCGTTATAAATCGATAAGTTTTTTTTTTTTTGTAAATTAAACTTAAAGTTTAAGTAATCGGAAATTCATACGATTCGTTCACGCGACAAGAGTCGAATGTACGAAAGATAGAAACTTTCTGGTTTTTTTTCTTACCGCCATATTTGATTTCCAAAACTTTGCAAAAATTTGTTAACGGTATATATATATTAATAATATTCCTAACTTTAGTTGGCAATTTTTTATTCCTTTTAATTTTTGAACAGTATGTCTTGTTATTGTGCTCTTTTCATTTTATAATTTTTAATTTTATCGTTATTGCATTAAGTTATCACTGTATAGACCCATATTTATTGGATAATTTACAGAATAAGATTGTCGAGAATATAACAAATAGCCAATAATTTCATTTTTTTAACAAGCATTTTTTCCCTTAATATCTGTTCCTTTGGAATAATATTTCCAATTATTAAGATCCAGTCTATCGTACGATTGTCGAATTCAAAGGGTTTTCCAAATTAATTGTTACAACTTTTTCGCGCGTTTTTACTCAAAGGTTCAAATCATAAATATTTGTATATTTATATTTTTTTCATATATCGATTATTATATATTTTCTTTTTACATATTTAGTCGTATTTTTACGTTATATATACATTTTTAACGAAATAATAAATTATATAATAAAAAGCAATATCGTTTTTTAAAAATTAATAAAGCAAAGAAAAAAATAATTATAGCTCCTATTATTCGAAATCGCTGTGCGATTATGTGAAAAAAGAGAAAAACTAGCGAACGAAACTCTGTCACGCTTGAAAAATTCCAAGGGAGAGGGAAGGGACAAGATTCGAATCGTACATCTCGTATTACGTAATACTTTACGTTTTCGAACGGAAGAAGCGTACGCGGCTGTTTAAGACACTTTTGTATTTGTCCCAGCATTTCCAAAGAACGGTTATGGCGCGCGATCTCTTTCGTATCGGCGTCTACCCACGCAAAATAAATGGATTGTCGTGTGATAAATATCGGGGGAGAAGAAAGATGAGCAAAAGTAAAATACTCGTCTTTACCTTCGAATCTATTTTCCACGAGTATCCTCGAACGGAATACGAATACGTGATTGTTCGACTTCTTCCCACGCCTCACTATTGCTAAGTAAAACCAAAGTAGATAGTTGTACACGAGAACGTGGTTGACACACGGAGAAGAAGGGAGACACAAGGTCGTAAAAGAATCGCATAAAATCCCTCTTATTCTCGAGATCAAAAAGAAATAGCTATTTCTGGGGAAGGAGAGGGGGAATATTCCAGAGGGAGTGATGAGCAAAATTTAACAGTTAAATAAAGTTACTTCGATGATTTATTCTTCAAAACGTAAGAACAATTGCGAATAATTGTAACAGCCGAAATTATACGAGAAGTGAATCGACCTACAACGAATTATTCCAAGCATTTTAATAAGTAATTACTCAAAGTAACTTTATTTTTAACTAGTTACTTTTTCAACTTTGGCCCAACTCTGTCCAGGAGAAACGGTGGCTAACCAATAAACCTAATGTAGCGCGCGTTAAGTCACGCCTGTGTAATAGGATCCAGCTGCGCCAAACGGCGCATGAGCGAACTCTGCACGCGTCGTATCTTGCACGAGCGCGAGACACGTATCTTTCGTCGTTTCAATTCTCTCTTAGTGAGAGGATTAGAAAGAAAATTCGATGTTGAAATTGAAATACGTAATCTACGAAACACTCAGGAGGGTTATAGTTAAGATCAATGATACTAGAGAGATCGGTCTCTCCTTCTTTTCGGCGCGGTTCCATTTCGTTGACGAGAATTGGAATGCAATTAAAGCGGATAGAGTTTTTTCGCGCGCGGTGAGAAATAGATCGATCCGCCTTTAACCCTTTCTTTTTTTCTAGCGAAAAAATTCCCAAAGAATAAATCCATTTCGACTCGAGAATATGAGAAGCGAAATTAGACAAAGGTAAACGAAGGTATATTACGAAAGGGATATCCATCTTTTCAACGAACGTTAAATTCACGTTCCATGAATTTTCATTCGTTGATATTCATTCGGAAAGAAATGTCACTCTCCCGTCTCAAAATCATATTTCGACATAAATATCATCCTTCCTCCTCGAAACAGGACAGAATAAAAATTTATTTTAAAAATATCCTTCTTTTCGGAAAGACGGTAAATGTGCACGCTCTATGATAGACGGGGGAGGGAAAAATAATAAACTACCTTCGAGCGAAACGTCAACGCGCCTCGTAACGAAATTTGTACACGAATACGTCGAACTTTCGCGATGAATAACTTGGAAACGAATGTGTCGCGACCATGTATCAATGTTCCATCAATGTTATAAATCCAGAGACATTCGTCCAGAGACATTCGTCCTAACTCTCGACTCGAAACTCGTATAAACACATAACGAATTTTTTCACGATCACTGCACGATGGATGATGATCAAAATTTATTTTCAAATTTGTAAAAAATAATTGTCTCTCATACGTTAAAACTTTGAATCCTCTTTTTAACCGTTTACAGATCAAACAAAATACGCGTATATATAGGCAGAGAATTAATTCAATAGTTGAGAAATATTCTGTAAATTTTTTAAACTTCAATTTCAAACATCTGTTTTAAATTATCGATAAGTTTTTTATTTTTTTTTTTTTTGTTAAATTAAACTTAAAGTTAAGATTCTTCAATCTAACCATTGATACTCATGGATTAACCTATCTTATATTATAATATATTTCTGTCGTTTTTATTATATTCTCACGGTGCTTTTTTCATTTTATAATTTTCAATTTCATCATTTTTATCGTTGTTCTGTTAAATTATCACTGTTTAGACTTCATCTATCGGGTGATTTATAGGTTAGGATTGTCGAGGACATCTCTTAGCAAATAACTTCTTTTAATAAGCATTTTAACATTCGTTTCTTTGGAATATGATTTCTACTTTCAGTTTATCGTATGTTAATTTCCTGCTACAACTTTTTCTTACTTACAATGGACTCGACCGTTTCTCTTGTCAATTTATTATACAAATTGTCCAATCCGTGCATCTCACCATTAGTTCTCACGCGAGTCATCGGATTCAGATTCAAAATAGCGAATAAAGCTAAAGCACATTTTTAATCGTAAATATAACTAAGTTTAATGTTATATTTCATATTTAAAAAATCTTTCTATTTCATCCTAAGCTATATTACACCTTTCATTTTTCTATATGTATATTTTTTATATATCGTTTACTTTGTCTCTTCTTTCTTCTATTCTAATTAATTAAACTCAATATTAATCTTTTCATATATATTTAATTATTTTTATGCGAAAGTAATAAAAAGCAGAGTAAAAAATTAAGCCTGCACATAACCTCAAAATCGGGAGGAAGAAGAAAAAAATAATTTCGTCCAGTTACCTTTCATCGTTCGAGCCGCATCGTGCGGTTATTATGCTAAATACGTTGAATTCTCTCTCAATACTGGAACGTATATACGAGTCTGTAGTAATTGATCAGAGTCCGGACCGGATTGATCCTATCCGGTCACCGTGGTTCGACGAACCTTGCCGCAAACGAGAACCGCGGAAAATTTATCGATCGTTTCGAAGCGAAGCTTCGAAAACAACGAAAGGTTTCAAAGTGACCCAACCTTTTTACCATCCATCGATTCGAGCGACCTTGTCTCCTTGATTCCTTCGCATCGTAAAATTACTTATAGCTGAATACGTACTCGTTAGACGCACCCTTGAGAATTAGAAGAACCAGTCTCCCCTCCCCCTCTCTCTCTGCTGCTTACCTTTGATTCCTCGAGAGCGAGCGAGCGAGAGAGAGAGAGAGAGAAAGAGAGAGAGAGCGCGTCACTGCGATGTGAAAATTGAAAATTGTGGAATATATTCGTGTGGAATTCGTTATACTATACTTCGTCTGTACATCAAATCTTCTTCCGTTTCTGAGGGAGCGATCGTTTCGATTTTTGTTTAAAGACTTTTTTTTTTAACGAAATATATATTTATATATTCGATATCTTCGATCGAAAAAAGGAGGGGGCGTTGCAACGATGTAAATCTGTTGGAACTGGAGGAATATATATATATATATATAGGAGGATAAGTATATAAATCCTTCCTTTATTAAAAAGATATTACATCTCAAATTGAATATATCGAGGAGGAAAATAATTTTTGGAAAAAAATATCCGATACCGCGTGCACGGATTTATTCATCTCTTCCCTCCCCCCCCCTCCCCTCCCCCTCCCTCATCGTTTATTCCCTGTTATCAAGTTATCGATTATTGATAGCGTGCATTAGCGTCGTCGATGGTTATTCTAGTATCGTTCGTTGCCCGATGCTTTTCATTACAGGAATATCCAACAGCTGCCAATATGGCGTGTCTCGTAATTCGAGACAATGGAGTCGTATGAATTAAGCCACGAGTTGTTTGCGGACGCGTTATCGGGAAAAATCGGGTGGATATTTTCAGAAAAAGTTGAAGAAACGACGAAGGAGGAGAAATTCTCTCTCTTTCTCGTAACCTACTCGACCTGGTTCCCGACCTGGTTGCGAAAGAAGTAAGATACCGGGGACATCCGCTTCGAAAAATTGCTCCCTTTTTTTTTCTCTCTTTCTTTCTTTCTTTGCGGTCAACGGATCTATTCGAAACAGGATAAATAGAAATCTATATTAACACGAATACTTTCGATTTGTTTCGTCTTTGTTGCTGTAGTCTTTTTTTGTTTTTCAATGAGCGAGATTATAATCGTCCTTAGTGCACAGCGATTTATTATTGATACGTAACAGTGAACATTCAATGTTGAACAGTTATCGGTATACTGAACGATCGTATTTAGTAGACACCATTGGACAATATATATATATTCGTTAGTACATAACGAACTATTGTAGATGTCGTTGGCTTAGAGTGATACAATGCTGTATATTCCATTCAATGCTGGAATATACAGTAAATGTTCGCAAATGATTGACTGTAATATAGTATACAGTGGATAATTATTCATTTATCACAGTTAATGCACAGCAAGCATTCACTATTGGACGATTATAATTAGTACAAAATGAACGTTCACCATTCGACAATTATAGTTAGTACACAGTGAACGTTCGCTACTAAATGACTATATAGTTCAAACAACTATATTTATCGTTAGTACACTGTGAATATTCGTCATTGGACTATATAGTTAGTACAAAATGAACGTTCATCATTGAACGACTATAGTTATTACACAGTGAACATTTACGACTAGCATTCACCATTCGACGTTTACAATTAATACACGGTGAACGTTCATCATTGGACCAGCTATATTAATCTTTAGTACGTAGTGACGATTACAGATGTCGTTAGTGCACAGTGGGCATTCGATGCTGGACGAGTGCATCGTTAGTGCAGAGCGAGCGTTCACCACAGAACCAGTGACCATTGTATCTACGTCGATGAGTGTAATATAATGTATAATATATAACGTGTAACGCATAGTTATAACGACGAATGTTCGATCGTAATAAGCCATTAAATACATACGTGTACGAGTATCGAACGGATATCGAAAATAAGATCGAAAACTGTTGAAAAATAAATTTTAAATTTCATCCCTCCTTTAAATCAACTAGCGATTATCGTTATTGCGTGCAAATAATGAATACGGCGCGTATACGTGTTTCCCTGGAATTTATTATCTCTCTTGTTCAAATCGAATTGTTTGCGACTCTTATTAAATCATATTACATCCCATTTTCTTGGTAAACGATGTTTGTGTTCCCCCTCCCCCTCCTTCCCAGTATTACAGAGAATTCTCATGGGATAGGTAGCGATGCTCGAATCAATAATCTGACGGGGTAGTTTTCCATTTCCAGAAGGAGAACAAACCGAGAAGAAAAATTCTAAAAGATATTCCACTCACGCAGATTTTCCATCGCTTTTTCTTTTTTTTTTTTTTTTCCTTTTCGAATTTCATTGTTAACAACTGTGTTCCTACAATTTCGGTATATCTACAAATGGGAAGGAGGGGGAGGGGGGGGGAGATGAGGGGGTCGTATTATTTTCAACCTTCTCCTTTCACCTTCGTCCAAAATCCCTAGCATTTTTACACTTTTCACGTCCGAGAGACAGTTGCGTGATGGAATCTCTATTTCATTTCCTCTTTTTTCCTCTTTTTCCTTTTTTCCATTCTACGCTTGACAAAAAAAGAAATGTATTATCTCACGAACAATTTCTCGTGCGTTAATTTCAAGATTTTCAGCAAGTGATTGAAAAAGAATCCTTTCCGATGTTTCCTAACTTTATATTCATGGCGTTTCCTCTTCCAAATAATAATCATCGAAAAACACACCAATTTTGTAGTCAGAGATACAACAGTAGTTTCGATGTAATTGGAGATCTTTCTCTCTTTGATCAAATTGATCCACCTGGATTTCGCATCAATGCGATGGGGCAATTTCCAATCCGAATCTCATTTGGATAGGGGAGAAGAAGAATGCCGAAAACTTTGCCTCCGGTCAAATGTACGGCACGAATCTTTGATCTCGCACGTTTACATCGAAATCTAGTGACTTTTCGAATCGATTTTACATATCGATTTAGTTACAAATCGTTTTTCAACGATAATTTTGTTATAAAAAAAAAAATAGGAAAGAGTTGATTAAAAATTATAATATCGCGTGCGATACTGAAAACGTGTACTTTGCTTCGCGACAACGAGTCGAGAATTATTGCGCGGATATCGAGAAAATTCGAGCCGCGCGAATCGTTCATCACCGGGGACGATGAGATGGAAGATTCTGATAAAAATTATGAAGATTAATCTTGTCTAAAGTGACCTCGTTTCTTCGTCAACGTCGTTGCTTTTTAATTTACCGATATCTGTCCCCGTTGCTTAATTTCGGTTGGTTATCGGATAAGCAGTGGAAGGAAGCGCGTCATGCATCTCCTCGCGTCAATCAACTTCGTTATAACATTGAATTGGAAGATTATTTTCCAAGTTTATTTTTAAAGATTCTTTTAATTCTCTGGATTACTTCATAATTAGTTGAAACGTATTCAAAATGTGTATCATCTTTGTGTATCACGTTGTGTACCACGACAAACTTGGTGTTTTTAAAAGTAAAGAGAGTGAGAGAGGAGTGAAAAAATGTTATTACGAAAACTTGGCCGGGAAATAGAGGAAATCGCGCCGTTGAAACCACTTTTTGTTTCATCTCGATATCTCTATCCGTTGCCGAGATATAAGGATACAAAGTTTCTATAACACGGTGCAGAAGTTATGAATGGACCTGTGACTCGGATATTTTTCGTAAAAACGCGTACTACGATTTTTCAAGAATCGCGCCTTTCCCTTGTTTTGAGTTTGGGATAGGTCGGTGAGACGAGGTGCGAGCGAGAAATCCGAGCAAGCGACGAAAAAGAAGATAAATAAACGACGAAAAATTATCCTTTTCTTTACACGAAGATATTTCAACAACCGGAAGTCGTATCTGGATAAATAAAAATGAGATTTAAAGAATACGATTCCGCGCTTCTAACGGTTTCTCATTCGTCGACTAAAAGTCATCATCTTCGAAGTTATAACGGTTCAAAATTTTTCTAATTTTAATTTAGAGTTCGATCGAGTTTTCACTTGTTTCGAGTTTCAGATAAGTAAGGCGAGATGCGAGCAAGATGTTCGAGGATGGTAAGTAAAAATTATGTTTTTCTTTACACGATGATATTTCGAGAACCGGAAGTCGTATCGGGATAAATAAAAATGCGATTTAAAGAGCAAGATTTCGTGCTTCTAACGATCCTTCATCGTCGATTAGAAATCATTATCTTCGGAGTTATAACGATTTAAAGTTTTTCTAATTTTAATAGCACTTGATTATGTTTAAGCTACACGATTATCCTTTTTCAGGAACCGTATCGGGATAAATAAAAATACGTTTTAATAGGATTCAATCGAGTTTTACATTATTGATATACGTGTGTTTGTAAGGAAATTATAATATATTTAAAGATATGTAATAAAAGTTAGTTGCGTGAAGATATATTTATGGAAAATGCAAAAAGTTTTTTATTCTATTAATATTTTCGAAACACCAAAGTTTTCTCACTTTCAGATACACACATTTCAAGTTTTTCAATTTATTCGGAAACAATTCTACTAAGTAAAAAGTTTCGTCTTGACCTTTTCTCGGTACAGCACAATAATGGAGAAGAGAATTGCGACAGCTCTTTATACCGTGGAGTACTTTTTAACTTACCAGACAATTTATCGAAATTCTTTCGTATTTATATTAAATAAATACGTATTAAAAATTGTAAAGTGTTACAAATAACGATTCGGTGTAGAATTAAAAGAATCACGTTTCCAGGAAGAGCGTCTGTATAATCTGTATAATTTTTATAACATCGAAGTTTTAAACCTATAAGAACTTAAATTTCCTTCAGCTTAAACTTCCAAAGTTTTCGTTTTGATGCGTTCATCATGGGTCGCGTCCCTCAACCATGGGGGTTTCCATGGTTGCTCGGTTAAAGGCGAAACACCGGATAAACTGTCGTTCAAATTGTTCTTTATCACGAAAGTTTGGTGAACTTCGAGTTTCGATTTCGTTAAGTGCACACGCCAATTATGGTAATTTATGCTTTCTTAATCACGTATGATAATGCGATTATCCTTGTCACAAATATGTTACTTTCCTTCTATTCTCGTAAAGATCGTACGAACACTTTTAATATTCTTTCTCCATAATCGAGAAGAAATAATAGGGAACGAGCCATTTAAAGGGGATTGGTTGCTATTACATCGTATTATCTGTACCATTAAAAATAGCGGTTTCACCATAAGAAGTGCACGAATCGAATTTTTCTTCTGGCGTAGCGCTACTGTCCATCACAATTCCCTGGATAATTTCCAGGGAAACAAAGGATCGACCATGACGCGATATCGTACCAACTCCCGTCGAACAAGGTGTCTTGAGTAGCTGGCTCGAACTTCGGCCGAATATCGGTGCCAGCCACGTTCGCGTCGATTAATGCAACTAATCGATCAATCTAATTTGTCGATTTAACGTATAGTCGAATGTTGCGGACAGTGGCGCGCGCACTTAAGTCGATTGCTTCTTTGATTTACCTTCCAACTTTCCAACTTGATTCCAACCGTATTCGTCGCAATTAATTCTCGTTTCCTGAAAAACAGACGAGCAAATCGACGAATGTAGGATCAATTTTTCTTTTCGAATTTAGGAATTTTAATTTAGAAAAAGAAGCGATTCAGTGATCGGTGATGAAATTTTTATAACGAAAATTCGATCTTCGATCTTTGTGAAAAATCGTGGTTGAGATTTCTTTTTTTTTTTTTCAGACGAGTGTGTTTTTCCTTCCTGAAAAAAAATACGGAGGAATATTTTGCACTAACAAGATGGAAGAAATAAAATATGCAAATAGTAGAAATATTGTTACGATGATTTCTTACTCCTCTTTTTCATCTCGATCAAATGTGATCTGATCAGCAGAACAAATGTTTCAACTGATAATCAGATAAACGTTTCCCCGACAGTTTGCCGATACCGCGGCCGATTAACTCGGAAATCTCACTTTCACCTGCGGTAATCTGCCGTCGGATCCATTTCCAGTCACTGCATGCTCTTTCATCAGAGATCTTTTTAATCTTAGAAGAAGATATCGAAATGCGCAATTCTACCTTTTCTGCTTCTGCTTCTTGACTTCCATTTTTGCCTCGATACGTGTGCATATGTGTGTGTGTGTGTATGCTTGATAATTTTTTCTCGATTCCACTTGAAAAAAAAAAAAAAAGGAAAGAGAAAATGAAAAGATATTAATTTTGACGAGAAAATTCTGTAAAATTGAAAATTTCGCGATTTTGAATTTTTTTTTTTCATCTCGTCTGGATTTTATTAGAAAAGAAAAAATTGAACGTAACAAGGAGCAGGAGAAACTTGTTATGGGAATTATTCTATTTTTTTAGGGGTAAATAGTAAAGAAAAACTTTCGTTTTTTAATGCAATTTACCTTCTAAAGTAAAGAGAAACGAAAGGGTGAATTTCACGCCCCAATTTTTAAAGAGAAAAAATTTTTTTCAATTTTATTTTTTTTTCTCTTGCACTCCCTCCTATTTCGGTGTTCAATTTTTTTTTTATAGAAAAAAAGCGTCATTATTCTGTATATATACACTTTACAAAAGCAAATGTTTGAAAAAATTCTATAACCCGATCAACGTCTACCTCTGTTAAAAGTTTTTTTCACCATAAAACTCTTATTAACCAACCTTTCCAACATTCAATAACGTTAACATTGTATCGTGTACGTATTTCAATTTTTCATCAAACGCTCGTTTCGTTTTTTTTTTACCATATTCCAAGTGAAATTAAAGATATATAACGGATACAAAGGAAACAGGTTTATAGTTTTACACCACCAGTTTAATTTTCGTTTAATGATATGCATATGGCGGCACACAGTTCTTCGTTCCATTCGTTTAACCAAACAATGAATATTCCATTAACAAAATTACACGTGTATATAGAATATCGTGCCGAATGTATTTATGTAAACACCTATGCGGATAATTAAAATTATAATTTGCATTGTGCGCAAAAATATATAATATGCATATATATTAAATTATAATAATCACAATTATGGTAAATAACGTTACAAACCCAGCAAAATTTACAATTTATAACGGCGTACTCTTTGTTTAATAATTTTTAAATCATTTCTCTATTAATACTGTACGAACTTTATATATTATATTAGAATTATTATGAAGAGAATTATAACTTTTGCGAATACCTTCCAGGTATGCATAGTTTCCAATATCAAACTTTAAGTGCACCTATGAGAGATAATACGAAAGTTTAAAACAACATTAGTGCTAGATTTTGTTAACCTCTAGATGCGGCATATACTTCGTATACTTCTGCATGTAATATCATCTCTTCCAATCCTATCCTTTTACTTATACACCTTTTATTATTATGTACTTTAATTATTCGATTTCTAAAAAAAAAAAATTATTGTCATCGCGTGCAAACGAATTATTCCTCGAGAGGTTAACCTCACTTTACTCTCTTATCTTTAAAAGCAAAGAAATGGATAATTTATGATTATGCACTTGCGTCTATATTCCTTTCAAGTTATATCCTACCACGAATTTCGAATTGATCGCCTAGATCCTAATTTATTCAAACGCACGATTCATTTTCCCCACGATTTATCGTCATTCCATAGAAGTTCACGGCGGACATATTGACACGTCGAAAGGATACACGAGCGCCGCATCGATTTTACGCGGTAATGCAAGGCTGATGGAATCACCTGTTCGACCGGCGGGAAATTTGAATTACAAATACGCGCTCGATAATAGAATAAATGTTGTTTGGCCGGGAGCCCGATTAATCTGCAAGTTGGAAAGTGCTGCGTGGCCTGGCTTCATTGTATACCCCGCGAAACTAGTTCTCCATTTCGTTAATAGGGGCCGCGAGGAATAGGACGTTGGCCTCGGAACAAGATTGCCTTTGTCGGTTCTGAAGTTGAAACTTTCCGCATTTTTTTCTTTTTAACGAGACGACTATAGTCGTCATAGCTATGATATAGTATGGACATTTGTATAAATTGAAATTGAAATTTGACGAGTTTCAGTTTTCTTTCTCTTTATATCTTCATCTTGAGAATTGATCGTTATATTGCTCTCCTTTCGAATACGTAAATACGGGAACGTCAATGTACGACGTTGTTCGCGGAGAAATTTCAACGAAGCAACAATCGAAATGTTGCGTTCGAACGAAATATCAGAGAAGTGGAATTTCGAAATACGAATGGAAACAGCCGCGCTACACTTGACAAAAGTGGGAAACGTTGAAACGAGTTCTCGTCATGGCATGGCAATCGCGCGTACGCAAATGGAACGGATGGATTCGAAACAATTCGAACGAAACGAGACAAAGTGTTTTCGCGTCGCGCGAAATAAAGAAATTACTTAAAATATCCTTTCTTCTTTTTTTCTATTTAAAATTTTTTCTTTTTTATAATTTAATTGGAATCAGAAACTATCCAAACGAAATTTATTACGATATTATTGCAGACCTCGCGTGAATGCGCGAAGGTTAATTATCAAAGTTAATAATAGGCCAAGGTGTAAAACCTGTTTCCTCGTAATTCATTTGTCCCATTGTTCAGAGAAAGTGGTTTCTGTTCAAAATGAACGAGCCAGCGCGTCCGTTATCCCCTCCACCAACCATTTCCACGCTGTCTGACTTTTCTAACACCGGTGCCACTTCTACGCGTGGTCTGACCATCCACGCGCTCTTCCACTGCCCGCCGCAACAATTTATACCACTCGTTTAAACCCGTGCTCCGCGTTAAATCCCATAATTCTTTACAACGAACGCTTCCACTGTTCTTGCCATATACGCGCAAAATACGTGTTTATTTAGAGTGCTTCCATTCCAACTTCCATTCATCCAGCCAAGAAACTTTTCGAAAATTTCGTCGATGATTATAATCGTAATAATTGCAATTCGCCAAATTATTTAAAAAAAGAAAAAAATTTTAAATCAATATTTTTCATCTCTTCTTTTTCTTCTTCTTTCTTTCTCGTGGATAGAGGTGAAAAATTGTGTTAATTGATTTACGTTAATGGCTTGATTTAAAGATTGACCGATGATAAAATTAAAAGAAGATTAAAAGAAGAATTTTCGTAATTTTTCGTAGGTGAATTTAAATAGTTAAACTCATTCTAGAATTAATCATCGGTGATTATTTTAATATACCATATGATATTGATTCCCGTAGGAACGTATATAACGTATAAAGATTTGCTATTTCGTATTTCATTGGCCAGAGCTATAAGGATAGTTTATGCTTCCGATATCGTACAAATATTATCAAAGTAGTAAGTTCGATGCACTCTGTGCACCGTGCATATTACATGGCCGATGCACCAATATTGGAACGTTCTTGGCAAATATTGCGGCCAAACTAACTCGAAGATACGAAATTTGACGAGAAAGTGTGTGCGAGCGACACGCTCGTTTCAAGAAGAGGAGGAAAAGAGACGTTGAACATCGAGATCGAGAAACGTGGCAAAATATTCGTAATGAAAAATTTCACTCACTTCAATTAAGAATTCAACAATCGAAACGATACTTTCGAAAGATTTTATTTCAATTAATCCTTTTTCTTCCTTTTCAACACCTTTATTCTCTTTTCACATCGAACCAATTACAAGTTGCTTACGCCTGATCGATACAACAACTTCTCGCGAACAAGAGCTCGCGCTTCTTCCTTTCTTCCAACCTTTACAATATTTCGAGATTTATCGCGAGCTCTCTTACTCCAACCACGCGAGTATCAATCTTGGAGGGAGACTGTCTATTATCTTTATTATCGCTTGTTGTTCCGTAAAATCTCGGAAGAAGAGAGGAATCTTGGGGGAACAATCGAGAAGCAACTTTATTCGGGATTATTCGGGATTATTCGGAGAAGGAAACAGCTTTTCTTTCTTCAGGTACAGGAGACGGGACAATGGTAAGAAAAATGGCTCCTCGTTCATCTGCTATCCTCACGAATAAAGGGAAAAATCGTTCGGACGGTTTATTTTCGAATAGGTGACGATATTCCACCAATTTTTCTCTTGTCGCGTTTTAATTCTACGATAGATTAATATCCGTGAGAGAATATGTATCTAATATGCTTTCGTTTAAGGCAGCCATAGAAATAATGAAATAAGACTCTTAATTGCTTCTAAATATTATATGAAAATAAACGTTTAATCTTTAATAAATAATAATAATAATAAAAAACGTGTAATAAACATTAATTAAATCATCACATATCCATCCATACGTATATTCTGCATGTGTCCATTGGTATTTCATATTTTTCTCGATAAGTGACGCGATTCGCTATAGATGTTATACCGAAACGCAACCAGGCGGTAAGTAGAAGAATTAAGTGCAACGACGCGTCTCCCGACACGGATATTACGTTTTATGCTCGAGTCACGTCTAGTCGGGCTCTATTGTGACAGGCAAAGTGCACCACTCCACGTTCAAGCGCTCCACCTATTGAAAATTCATGTCAACTACGGACCGTGTAAAAATTTTAACGCATCTCCGCGGAAAAGCCGCACGCGCAAATCTTTCTCCAATTCTTTCAATCACGATCCTTTAATTCCCTCTCCTATTTTCCAACACTTTCCAAAATTGTTTTCGACATGGTAGAGACATCGATAAAAATATCACACGACGAATTTGAAATACATTTTCATTAACCATTGTCATTTCGGATATTTTATTCCAATCATCCATCCTTCGTATTTCTCATCTCTTATTATACCTGTTATTTTATCTTCTATTTCGACTTTGAACGCGGAGAGTGACGCGATAATGCGACGTGATTCAATTGCAGAAACTGTGTGGATGATGAAATGTCGACTGTTCGTCAACCGCAATACGCATCAACCTCGTTATCATCCTGCAGGGCGTTCTTGGCGTTGCGACAGCGCGCGCGTTTCCGCTGGCTAAATCAGTTACTGCTGCTGTCCGCGTTTCCTGTCCGGATATTCCATCTCGATACGGATCTGTCGCGCAATTTCGTGCTGCTCCATTCACAAGAATAGATTTCCCCCACCACTTTTATCTATTTCCATCCATCGATGAGTTTGTTGCTCTTTTCCTTTGTTCTTGTCGTTGTGTCAATGATTCAAAGATTTTATTTATCGTGTGAATGAAGTGACATCTAAATGAAGATCTATCAACAGTAGGTAACGATGAACAAAATTTTAAGAATAAAGTTAAAGTCAAAGAATAACTATATCGAATAACCATCATTAATTGTATAATAACGATGATCGAAGTTTATACGAAGAGCGGTTATAATCGTAGTAGTTACGAATAAATGTGATTAACTCAAGCAACTTGAGTTAACTGAAGTAACTAAAGTTACTTAAATAACTTTGCTCGAAATTTTAATTAATTTTATTTCGTTTAGTGTCTAACTTTAGATGAGTATTCGATATCTTGAAAATTTTCGATATGAATTTTCGAATTTTCGATGATTTTCGAGAATATGCGATTCTTTCGAATAAAATTTCATTGTTATGAAACATTCGAACGATTTCATTAATTTTGCTCTAGCTTTATGGTATTTTTCGTGGTCATCGAACTTATACATATATGTATAATGTATGTATTAGGATGTATCACATGAAGTTGCCAATTTTAAGATAAATGGTAATCAACTGCGATTTGTAAACTTTACTTAACCTATATTTTGCCTAGTATATTTTGACGTTGTTCTTTATATTTCTTTTGTATAATAAGTTCTTTTTTTATATTACTTTAACTATTTTTTGATAATTTAGAATATTATTCCTGTATGAGTTTAAACTAGATTACAGCAATACAGCTGAAGCATATCGAAATATTAGGTTAGCTTTCGAAGAAGATTCTATCAATGAGAGAAAGTTTCAAAAATTCAGATCTTGAAAATGAAATAGACCAAAATCCAAATTAAACAAAGATAAATTGAAAGGCAAAGTGGAAACAGAGTTAGACGTATCTCGAATAACAGTTTTCAGACATTTGAATGTAATAGGTAAAGTGAAAAAAATCGAAAAAGATAAATCAAAAGTTACGGTGTTTGAAAGTATGCTTATCACATAAAGCTCGAAACGGTATTTTTGAATAAAATTATAATTTGTGATGAAAAATGGACACTATATGATAATCGTATACGATTTGGACAATGGTTGGATACTGATGGAGATCGTAAACAAATGCCGAAACCATTGTTACAATCAAAAAGAGTTATAGAGTGACTGTAAGAAGAAGAGTTATTGTGGTCTGTAAAGGAATAATTCGTTATTCTTTTTCGAATAATAGTAGCATCTTGCCAAGAAATTGGTTAAGAAACAACCCGTATTAGCCAATAGACATTCTTCCGCGCAGCGCTCGATCGATACATCACAAACCATTATACTATCAGATATTTCATCAATCGATTGTTTCGCCATTTATAGTTATTTTTAAAAAATAAAACATTGGAACAATTGTAATCGCAGCATTCGAAGAATTTCTTCATGCTAAAACCATGAAGTTTTATAAAAATAGAATACGTCAATTGGAATGATTCATATTTTGATCGAATAAAGGTTATAGTTTCGAAAATTTGTTGTTTTTCTTTCGATCAATAAAAAACGGCAATTTCATGTGATCTAATACGATCTAATAGTTATACTATATACGGTAATATTGTCCATTTTGTTTTACCAAAGTATCTTTGATAAAATTCATACCACATCACGAAGTAGCTGGCAAGATCAAATACGATCGAGCTAATTTAAAATTGGCATTGCAAAAGCGATGATTGTAATACCTATGTGTATACAAATATATATACACATATAATTACATTTAATGCCAAAAGTGGAATCAATTCGAATAAAAAGGAAAGCAATTCTTTCTCACGAAATTGTATTCAATTTCGACACGCGTAACACGAGAATTCATTTCGCATGCGTGTATTGTTCGACAAAAAATTGAACAAGCGTGATTACAGCGTTTAACGATTGGAATGAAAAGGAATGTAAAGTTCGATGAT